CTGTTTTAAAATAAGTTTTGACTATTTGGAACATCAGACTAATTAGTCATCAGACGTAGTTTACAATGTTATCTAGCACCCGCCGAACTATGTCAATTTGTGGAAACGTTACTTTACGTTACTAGTCGAGAGTATCCAGGTAAAACTCAGTCGAAAATGCAAAGAAGATGGCTTGGCAATCGAAGCAACACACACTCGCACTATTTTATCATTGCCTGGTTTTGTCCGTGACCATTAGCACTTAATCATTAGCAGTTAGCAAAGGTTAAAATCATTATCATACGTATGCATACCTGACTGCTATATTGCTTTTGCGTTTTAATGAAGGTAAGTGAATGAATACATAGAGTGCACTGCATTGCTGTACTTTCAATGGGGGCACCGTTAGCTTGGCCAAGATGCACTCATTTACTATTCACATTATTTCGACATTTTCGACTTTAGAACATGACTAAAAGAACAATAGAAAACAGGACATGCAGACATGAGATCGACACTAACGGAGCAATAAAATTAAATGTAAGAGGGACTCTAACATCAAAGAAGATCATCAGCCGCGATCGCCGAAAGCAAACTAATAGAAAATGATAACAACATAGAAGGAAGCTGGAACAAACTCGAGTCTAACAAAATAAACTCAGCAACAGGGCCATCAGAATTGGCAGAGACAAAAAAAATGGAACGACAACCTACTGGAGCCGCACTGAAGATGAACAGGCAAAGTTGCCTATGCAAAGAAGAAGAAGACTTTCGAACATTTAAATTTACATCAATCCCCCGGCAGTTTGAACGTCCAACTTTCCCTCGACATGCAACCAGCTCCGTTAGGGCTTCCGGTATGGACATTGCAAAAAATTTGCCGCAAACTGTAAACCATCGAGTTGGTTTTTGCTCATTTCCATCCATACGTTTCCCATTGTACGCCTACATTGGAAATCCAGTTTTAAATAAATAGAGCGGCAACTATTCCGAGAATTGCGGCCCTGCATGCAAACTTCCACTAACTTGCGAATAGAATTGTCTAAGCAGTTTAAATTGGTAATGATTTTATAGTCTCTGTCGGGTCCTGCGGGTGCTGAATATGATTTAAAGCCCACGAGGTTTGAAGGCGCGTTAAGGGCCAAGGGAAATTCGATTGTAATTCTGCAGTAATTACGCAAAGGCAACCGAGGTTTTTTACCCCGAAAGTGCAATTTATCGTTTGTGCATCCCGAGCGCCGAAGCACGATTTGAAATAATTCGGCCTCGTCTAGTTATCCTTTGAGATTCGCCATGGGATTATGCAAATAATCCCATTCAGGATTTTCATATTTCCAGCGCCCACGGAAAGACGAACAGCGTGAAATTTACGCCAACATTGGTTGCTTTCATGGAAACCCACCGGGCCGCGATAATTAAAACTTGACTTTGACGAAACGACAATAATTCGCCTGTTGTACGGATTCAGAATTCTGGATAAGCTGGACCTGGATGTTTCGAATAAATCAAGGCCTGCAGGCCAAGTGGAAGTTAACACCTTCAATTCTTGAATGACTGGAAGACATTTTCTGGCAAAATTCTATATGTATTCCATTTGGAATTTTTGCAGTATTTCAGCAACTGTAAGTCAATATTGCATTCTCCTAAACAATCCCTGTGATTATCCACTTATTTTCTCTTAAAATCTTATTATGCAGTAAATCAACCAGGTCCTTAATTGCCAGTTTCGGTTGTAAAAACCCTGTTTTTTTGGGTCGTTGTTTTGGCCTGATAGTTGAATAATAAATCAAGCCAATGAATGTGGCAATATTGAACCAGTTTATCAACACTTTCATGCGATTTTTATGAGATTAATTGAATTGGAAGCTTGGATGCTTTGTGGTATTTAGCGTCCCAGGCTATTCGGAAACAATCGCTGATTTATTAAAACGGCAATAAATTCGGTGTTTTTTGCGCACAAATTTGTTGCAAAATTGACAATGGCGCTCGGTTAAAAAATTCGATTAGTCCATTTTTCCAATTTGATTATAAATCACATTAAATAGCGTTCAAGATAACATACATAAAACGATCAGATATTTTCGGTAGTTTTATCAAACAACGGTTTTATCGCCAATTTTCATTAAGCTTGTTTGCGATGTATTCATCCCAAACCAATTATACCATTTTTAATCCAAATATTCTCCAAAACTCCATTCGGTGACCTAAAAACTCGACAGTTTAGTTTTTCATTTAGTTTGGATTTGCTTGGGATCGTTTGGGTTAGTTCACCAGTAAAGTTGTTTAGCAAATTCTTATGAGATCTAAATTACATCGAGCAAAAGTATTTTTATTCCAAGGAACCCAAAGTTACTAAAACGAACCAAACTGGATAAGTATCTATATTAAAATTTTGAATAATTGAAGAAAGCGCAGATTTTGAGATGTGGAGCGTCTGTCGCGAAGTCTGAAAGTTCGTGAAATCACCAAAGCTACAGCCAAATTTAGCCCGGAAAGTTCGTGTTTCGCAACCCCTTACACTCTTCACTACAAAATAAGCCCAATTAACTGTACATTTTTCTTATTTCAAAAAGGCGAAAAAACTCAGGTTTATAGGTTTAGAACGCCGGTTTTACATATCGGAAGTGGTTTCCAACAGCAAAGCTGTCTGTATCCTGAGAACCTGAATACCTCCACACTATTCACCTCAAAACGAGCCCAAAGAACTGCTGATTTTTTAATTTAAGATAACGAAAGAAAGCTCTGAATTCGAACTTTCATTCATTCAAACGTAAGTATCGTATACTGGAAATTTCGTGAAAACTTTGAAACTTTGAAACTACAGTATATGCACCGAAAACATTGTTTGTTGGCACCTTCCGCATCATTCACCACAAAACGAGCCCAATTAAGTAACGATTTTGCAATTGAAACAACTACAAAAATCATATATTATAGTCTTTCCAACACAGGCCGGAAATTCCTTAGAACACGGAACCTGAAGGCGAATCCACCCCAGAAAGTTTGTTTCTCGAATGCGTCCACACTATTCACCACAAAAACCAGCCCAATTAAGAACCGTTTTTTAATATTTTTAAACGAATGAAAGCGCATATTTCGATTCTTTGAATGCCGGTTTCACGTACCCGAAGTTATTTAAAACTGCGAGTCTGCAGCCAGGTTTTCCTCAGTAAATTTRTTTAGTGATATCCTCCACACTATTCACCATRAAACAAATCGAAATAAAATCCGATTTTAAAATTTACAAAAAGTACATTTTATGGTATTTTTTTAGAAATATGCAAATTAATTCCGGGTTTATTACAGGAAATTCGTTTGCCCAAATCCTCCAGACTTTTCACCACGAATTCAGCCCAATAAACGGCCGAATTTCACATTATAAAAACCTRAAGAAAACGCAGATTTTGGGTCTTCGARCACAGGTTGAAGAATAGTAGATAGAATTGAGAGAAAACTACCGGAACWATCTTAAAACACTGAAGCCACAGCCGGTGYTTGAAACCCTCTAAACTATTTTGTTCGAGACTATTAGAGACSATTTRSAACTCTAGGCAGCAGGCTTTCTTTGCGGTTTTCTTTATCATTTTTTGCATCACATATCTGTTTGCTAATTGAAATGAAGGACATTTTTAAAACAGACAAAAAACCCAAACGAACCGAAACGCGAACCAGCCGCGACTGGCCCAAACTAATCCAAAACATATCTTAGCGGTAGTAAACTAAGTAGTAAAACAATGCAAAAATTGCTACTAAACGAAGAAACTATTGTTTGCTGGCAATAAAASAAAATAATAAAATGAATTGTTTTACAACTAAAAATAGTAGTTTTCGATACAAGGGCGAAGTGTCGTTTTTCGAACGACGACGGCGTTTGACACCCKAGRCGAAGTCAAGGGTGTYAATCCGTCAGGAGTTCGTATCGAACAACATTTTTTATTCCAATAAAAAACATAACACGAATCATAAATTATAATAAATAAGAATAGCCAAAATAAAAGGCATCAACTTCATATTTTAAATCTGATGTAAATGATATTTTTGAAATTGTCACATTTTGACGTTTGTAGTTTTTCAAATACGTACTTTTGTAAGCATATACAACTGAAACAATGATTGTTGAAAATTCAAGTGCTGCTTTCACGGTATGGTGTTTGTATGAAATTTGCGTTATTTAGAAAAATCGTGTTTTGCTTGTGGCAACAAAATAGTTTTAAAAAATCTAATGACATTGACGGGTTCAATTTGTGACATTTACTTTTGCGCACATGTGCGCAAAAGTCCGTGCGTCAAAGTAAAACAAATGAACAGTAAAGAAAAGTGCATCTTGATGATAATCGCTTCTGTTCGAAAAATGGCACTTTTAAATTCATTTGAATAAAAAGTACGTTATTGGTTTGAAACGATTGAGGCTGAATAACTTCCAGACGAACGCCCCCCAAAGTAATTTTGCGAAAATTTGCGGTAATACCTTGTTATTTTGTATGTAAACAATTCGTTGTCAAGCGTTGTTTGTTTATAATAAGTGACAGTGACATTAAAGGCGTATTTACAACTGCATAGATCTGTAGTAGCTAAATCTAACCAACTGCTAATTCAACTGAAGGAATGCATGCCATAAACCGAAGGAATATTTCAGTTAATCATCAGTGGCATTTATTTCGTCGATCTGCGCCCATTTGTTTTGTCTATTTGTAACCTGACAAACGTTGTAAACTCGCCCCTAATGTCACTGTCACTAATTGTAAATAAACAAGGCAAAACATCGTTGTGTTAATGTAGTAGCATGCGATCGAACACGGTTTTCGTGATAAATAAGCATGAAAGAGTGGAAATAGCCTCGAAAAATCGAAGACAAATTCGATTTTTTTTCTCTGCGATTTTGAGAAATAATTGTAATAAAATTTTGTTTTTGACAGTTGACAACACGCAATAAAAAAGCGAGCCTGATATTTAACTTTTTTACGTTTTTCTATCTGTTTGATGTTTAGTTGGACAAAAAACTGATGGTCGATTTTTTCCAGAAAGAAAACTGTTTGTCGGCATGCTGAGCAAGAAGTTCTGCGAGAACGATGTGCGCGCGCTCTTCTCTGGTGTCGGTACTATCGAGGAGTGCACCGTACTGAGGGACCCAGCAGGAAATTCGCGAGGGTGCGCGTTCGTCACCTTCAGCAACAAACAGGCCGCCCTATTGGCCATCAAGAGCCTGCACCAGTCCCAAACGATGGAGGGCTGCTCCGCCCCACTAGTAGTGAAGTTCGCGGACACTCAGAAGGAGAAAGAACTGAAGCGGCACCAGCAGATGCAGGCGAGCGTATGGAACGCTCTGGCTACCCCTACGCTCGCCTCCCCACCGCAGCAGTACAGCCCAGTTCTGCCTTCTGAGGCGACGTCGCTGCAGCTGCTGCAGGCGATGGGCGGGTCCGCGCTGCTGCAACAGCAGTTCCTGTCGAATTCGGAGAACCTGCTGGCCCCGATCGGTGTGCAGAACTTAGTGACGCTGGCGGCGATGACGCAACCAGCTACAGCAGCTACTGCGCCACTGTGCATGGCCAATTTGTTGGGCAAGGGTGCGGGAGTGGAACGGACACTTACAGCCGCTGGACTACAGGCGGGCCTACAATCTGGATTGGGGACCACAACTGATCTGAGCAGCTACGGCTCGCTCATCACCAATGCCACCCTCAATGCTGCAGCTGTTGCTGCAGCTGGCAAACAAATCGAAGGTAAGGCTCTTTGGGTGCTCGATTTCTCTTTGAGTCCGTGACTGGACACGATACTAACCGCTTTCAACTTGTTGTCTGGAAACTGGTGGGCAATACTTTAGCCAGATATGTCGCAATCTAAGTAGGGGAACCCGGGACATATTTTGTTGCGTTTGATACTGTGGAGTGGATTCTTTTGGCTTTAACGTTCGTGAAACGCCATACATCGATGTTTTGTTTCTTTTTCTTGTTCTTCTTATATTAGGCCTTGAGCCTGTTCTTTTCCGATCTATTTTCTGTATTGCTGCAGTAGCATTTGTGACGTAGACTGCCAGCTATCTTGCCTTCTCTTAAAGGGCCGTCCTGGTGGTCTGGTACCCATTGGTTTTATAATCCTTGATATTCGGGCTAGTTTTTTGCCATCCATTCGTGTAACATGCTGATTCCACTCGCGTCTTCTTCTTCTTTCCTTTCCAGCTCATTGGCTTAACTGACTCCTCTTTCTGCAGCTTCACCTTGGAGGTCTGGATTCGCTTATTGCTCTGCGCAGGTGGCCGCCCACTGAAGCTTTGCAGTTTCACATAATTCACCCGCTCATCTTCTGCAGGACTTTGCTCAAAAATGTTGATCAAACACTTGGGCTCTTGACACTCAGACTCTTTACATTTGAACAACGTGCGAGTTTTTCTATTCAGCTGGCGGTCCACGCAACAACGACATCTGCAGCTAGTTGCTGAGCTATCGCTTCCAGAATCCGTGAGCTTTAGAGTTAGAAGAGACGCTTTGGACAGCGGAGTTGTATCAGAACTGGAGGATACCGCTCTGGGAGGACTGGCAGCTTCCATGGGCTTTGCAATGGAGATGTTTGAAGTGAGGGCTGAGTTGCTGCTGACCATTCGCAGCATGGTCTGCTGATGCCTGTCCGAAGATATTTTTTGGGTTTGCCCAATGGGCTGTCTTTGACTGGTGGGCTGATGGCTTTAAAACTATCAAAGGATTCCACCTTTAAAACACCCTCTGAGGTTGGACGAGGACTTGCTTGGAGCGGAACTTTTTCCTCCATTTGAATGTCCAGCGACTCTGGCTGTGGGAGGAAATCTCTGGAGACGGTCGCTTATTTGAGCGGGAAATCACCTGTTGCATTGCAGTTTTTCCTGGATGTTTTGCAACCATTTCTTCCTCAGAAGGTTGATTGGCTGGAACAACTGTTTTTTTTTGACAATTTGGAAACAGGAATTTCGTGTTCTTTCGTATTTTGTTCGTTGCTTTTGGTGCTAGAAGCGGGAAAATATCCGGGTGTGTTGGGGAGTTCCTCAGTTGCTCCTTCAACAACTTCTGCAACTGCATCCTCACTAGGCGCTGATTCTTCAACAGGTTTTGAGCTGCTTTGAAGCACCTCGCTCTTGGTTCCAGAGTTAGCGCTTTGCTGCAACTGTTGGCTTGAAATGGATGGTGTTTGATTCGGGTTTAGGGACTCCTGAGATGGTTTCTCTTCAGACGGTGTTGCCTTTAAGGTTCCAGCCTTTTCCAAAGACGCACTTGCGGTGTTTCGAAGAATGTCGCTTCTAGTTCCAGAATTGGTATTTTGCTGCAATAGTTTGCTTGAAATTTTTGGTGCTTGAGTCGGCTTTAGGGGCTCTTGAGCTGGTTTTTCTGCAGACGTTGTTTCCTCTACATTTTCAACCTTTTCCAAAGAAGCATCTGGAGTGGTTTGAAAAATTTCGCTCCTAGTCCCCGAATGAGTGCTTTGCTGCAATAGTTTGCCTGAACTGGAGGGCGTTTGAGTCGGCTTCAGGGACCCTTGAGATGGTTTTTCTGCAAAAGTTGCTTCATCTAAGTTTTCCACCGTTGCCAATGAAGCATCTGCGCTTCTGTCTGGAGATGACACTAAAGAACCTTTGTTTTCCAATGATGGTTCTTTTGCGAAGGAAATTTCAGGCTCTAGCAAGTCCTCGGCGTGTTCGTTTGGTGTGAACTCATCAGCGTCTTGAAAATCATCAGTGCCTTCCGACGGAATAATGTGGAGCATCGAGCTTGAAGCTTTAGCTGGCTCTTGGGGTGTTTCAATATCCATACCAAAGTCTTCATCATCAGAATCCAGCTGGTCTGCGGCAGCAATCTCTTCGCTCTTCTTCTCGAAAACGGGAGCCTTTCCCAATGGTACGATATCCTGTGTTCCACATGCTTCTCTTATTTGAATGTTCGGGACTCTGTTTCTCAATGTTTTGGCCGTTATTAACCTTTGTTCTGAGTATTCTTTTTGTTTCTGCTGTTTCAGCTGTTGTTTCTCTTGAATATGTTAGTATTGGCCTTACACATGGCTCATTTATATATGCGTATTTTCCCGTCCAGCCTCATATCTTTATAGATAGCATCCCTTAAACATCCTTATACATAAGGTGATTTATTAGCCTGCTTTCGTACATTTCCTTTTAGATCTCAGGAGCTGGAATTTCTAGCAGGTCGACGGACCAAAATGTAATAATCCGGCTCGAAGGACCAAAATGATCCAGCTTATGACTGAATCGAATTTTCAATTCCCTATCCAGCGATGCCAAAACGCATTCTGAGGCGCAACTAGAATTTGCAGCTCAAAAAAACCCGCAAATCTAAATCCCAGATATTCGAACTTAGAAATTTGTGCGATTATTTCTTCGTTAATTACGATTTTGCATCGTCTGGGTTCCCTGTAAACCTAAAGTATTGCACACCAATTTTTGCGTGTATTTGAAGTGTAAACCCGTTTCCACCTTATAATTTGAAGCTTCTGAAGCAGATTGAAATGAATGGAAACGAATGAATACCGATTTTTGAAGATATTGCAAGCGTTCAGGGGGTTGAAACTGTTTGCCTCTGCTTAGATAACGAGCCAACATCCAACTGATTTTGTCCTGTCTTTCTTGTGGCAATAACCATTTCTTTGATGAACGGCATGAAGGCGCACCCCTAATGCTTATTCAAGTGAAGAAACTGTCGATTATTAAGCAACTAATTGGTCGATTTGCCACAAAAGTTTAAATCCTCATTATCCACTGATGCCACAGCGTCATTTACCTAGATTGAAAAATCGTCCTAATTTCTTCAATTCAACACCGCCTGGGCCCTTGTCTATAAATAACCGACATTAATCGAAAATTCAATTCGCCCAATTCTTGATTGCAATCAATTAACTCTTAATCAATCGAATTAGGCGTCCAGTAAACTAAATTATCGGCTTTGATCTTTCAATCTGTTTTTTGATGTGGAGCCAAATCGTTGTTATCTCATAAAGCGAGCCCCGTCACCTGATTTAGGTAAGTTGGATTAATTGTTGTTTACCGATTTTATTGGAAATACTTGTCAGATTTTAGGAAAAGCGTCGTTTTTCTCATGCAGGAAAGTCGGCCTAGGAGATCGCGCGCGATTAGACAATAAGTGGATTACAGCATGTGGTACTTTCAAGTTGCCACACATCACGAACCGATATAAATCATCCGAGTATCAATTATCAAATATTTAAAGACGATTTGCCCACCTGATTTAACAGTGGTGATTCGGCTCGAGGTCTGGTACTTAATTGCATAACATGCAGTAATTGGTACTAATTTACCAAATTGATTTAGTCCTTAAAACGTTCCAGTAGAAAAGATGGAAATCTCACTAGTTATTACATATTGGGCAAGAGTAGGATTGTCTGATGCTTTCGCAATGGAATTTACCATTGAAGGGATAATTTTGCTAATTGCCTCCAGTGCCGTGCCCCAAGAGAAAATTGCAATAAAAGCGCACAAAAATCTGCCATAAAATGAATAATTAATTGGTAAAAGTTCAATTATCAAAACTTCACTACTACTGGTGAACGATACCAAACCGCATTTTGCATTCGAACCAAATGTTTTCATTATCAGCCACTTGAGTCAAATTTCAGATATAATCGACTGAAATAATTGAATGCACTCGATGTGTATTAGCGTTTGTTTGTTCGTTTGCGGTAGATAGATTGGGGAATTTAATGTGGAATGATCAGATTCTGACTAATCTGCACGGATATATGAAGGGAAAAGTGCGGCATTTTCGGTTGTTTCAACGCTCTCAACCTTGACGAGGCGGGTCTAAATATTGCTGTAATAAATCACAAATTTACGCGAAATGTGATAGGGGGACGTTAAGGATATGTAACACTAATTGGTAGGCTGTTCGGAAATGTAAGAAGTTTATCAGCATGTGGCGCGGTTTAAATATCCGAATCTGGATTTACGCCTTCGGTGTTCTATTTGCGTTGGAAACTGTTTTTACCTTGACTGTCCGCATTAATTTCCGGGGTTTTTATCGACCTATTATGGAACGATAAACTTTAATCAGCTGAATTGCGATGAAAAGTTTAGAAGAGATCAAAGCTCCTCAAGAGGAAACTAGAGCGCATCTTTAATGAAGAATGGGCATTAACTGAACAGGCTCAGAAATTATCAAAATGCTAAAAGGCCGACGGTCTAGATTTACATATATGAACAAATTGTTGGTGAAAAAAACAAAAAGTGTTGGCAAAAAAAAGAAAAATCACAATCAAAAGTTTGGTTATATTCGGAAGGTTTCGGAGGAAATGACGAGAAAATCTCGTGAAACAGAAGATTAGGTTCTTTGTAATTTGTGTCCAAAAAATAGTAAATGTCAAATGTTGGCGAAAAATAGCCAAGAAATATCAATATCAAAGTTAAAGTCCTCTTTGATTTATTTGAAAGTTTGGTTTCATCCGGAAGGTTTTGGAGAACATGAAGAGAAAATCTCCCCAATCAAAGGATTAGGTAGAGATTTGTATCTAAAACATTGTAAGCATCAAAAGTTGGCAAAAAAGACCGAAAAAAACGATTTCTATAACAGTATTTTGCTCCTTAAAGCGAGCATTAATTTTGAAGAGTCGTAACTTTTTAGAAGTTGAAGTCAGTTTTGAATTATTTGGAAAGTTTGGTTTCATCCGGAAGATTTCGACGAAAATGAGGAGAAAAGCTCCTCAATCAAAAGATTAGGTCGAGATTTGTGTCCAG